AAACTGTCAAGCACAACACAGTGAACCAACTTTCTTAGCAGCAGGCCTAACAGTGGATTCAATAGAGTCTTTTCACTTAATGTCAGCTGAGAATGTTAGCCTGAGAAGGTGCAACAAGTCATTGTCCTAGAGGTTATAAAAACCTCAGAGTATTCCAGTAAGATATCTTTAATCCTTTCTAATATACAATGGTTCAAAGCTTAATCTGACAATTTGACAATTTTGCTGTTACACCCAGTATATGTGTGTGTGTGTGTGTGTGTATATATATATATATATATATATATATATATATATATATATATATAATACATTGGTTTTGTTAAATGTTCTATTTCAGTCAGTTCAATTTCCAATATGGTGTCTTTAATTGTTTCCCATAGGTCTGCTTTATTGTCATATTGTTTATCACTTTATATAATTTCATCTTTACAATTGACCCTAGATTTTTGCTTGGAATGAGACAGTGGCCATTCCATTATCTTTTCTCCTGTAAACCTTTTACACTCAAAAAATTTACAGATAACCTTAGGTACTGCAAGGCTGGGATTTCTGCCATTAAAAGAAAGTCTTGTCCATGAAATCCCAATAGTTAGCACTATTCAACTTTATTGATTTTGAATGGTTCAATAATGGTTTGTTTGACAATCCAGCACATATCATGATACTGTCAATCCTTGTTAAATTCTTTTAAACAAAGAAACATCTGCATTGGATAAAATTTATCCTTTGGCAAATCTATCATATCCATTGAGTTATCAACCAAAATTTGTCTGTGAAAATTGCCTTAGAAAAGTTAATTTCCATCTATTTCTTGGCTTAATTTTGATTTTTTTAAAAATTTGTTTTACTGAGAAGAGTTTACTTAGGATTTCTTGACAGACCCCAATTTGTGAAGAATTCTATACATTTTGTCTCTGATTCCCTCAATTCCAGCCTTTTCAAAGTTCTGAGCACTAGTCATTTTTGACAGGTAATAAGTAAGGGCTTGCTGTTCATATCCAAGTATACATGTCTGCTAGGGTGGCTAGCCAGTCCCTATTGCCGACTCCTGCTCAGGCACATTGGTGTTTGTTCAACACCCACAGAGCACACCTGTGGTTTATACTGCAACTATGCTGAGCAGATCTTAGTTACAGTTTCTGGGAGAGAGAGTGCATTATCTGGTATGATCAACAGTCTGAACAAGGATAGTACACTCAAAGCCTCGGTGACTTTGACTTGTGACTTTGTATTAGTTCAAACATCGATGACTCCCAAATATTTCAGTCTACCCAATTTCACTCACAAAGCTTTGTTCAACCTGTGGTATAGTTTGCAGGCACTTTCTAAAGGTTCTGCATTCTGGGATCACCTCTGCAAGCAAATAACGCCAAGAAATCACCCCCCCTGACCATCTCCCCCCAGGTCTTATGGTTGAAAAGTGAACATTCTAACCTCTCAGCTACAGGTACTATGCTACTACTATATATATATATATATATATAAGCACCAATCTTTATTCTATACATGTTTCATTGAATATAATGAACAAGGAAAATTTTATTCATTCTTTTTTCATTTTATCTATTTATTGTTCTTCTTTTTATAAAGACTCAGAGTATCTGTCTATATTTCTGAGATGAGGTATTATGTACACTATTTAAATTGTTCGGACTATCATCCTCATCTTTGTTGCCATATTTATCACAACATTTCGGCCATCATTGAGCAACATTGAAATGCATCATTTTTCTTCACAAATTTAATTTGGCTAGTATATATATATATATATATATATATATATATATATATATTTGAAGATTTGCTACATTTATGGAAAAAGAGTGCTCAATATTGGCGTGAGAAATGTGTAGATATAGACAATTGGACATAGAAATCTACACATTGCATGCCTCAGGCAATATTCAAACAATGACAGATGATCTGAAGACTGCTTGAAGAGTGACACTGACTGTCACCATGCAGTGTTGATTCATTGTCTTTGACAATGTATTATTTTAAAACTCCATGCAGACTTTTAAGCTTGCTCCTTCATGGGGTTAACTGGGCCTCCAACCTAAAACTAAAGGGACCTCTGATTCAGTTTAGAAAATAGCAATGACACTTTTGAAGAAATATATTTGAATTCCTCAATTCATTGCATAGAACTTCAAAACCACACTGTAACTCTGATTTGAGCTATTCCGACCAAAAGTCTGATTTGGGCAGAAATTCCAATTCAGGCCAAAAATTGAATTCTTTAAATCACAAACTCCGTGGAACTTCAAAAGCTCACGTCATGAAACCTTTTACTTTAACTTGGCATTTTGAAGAAATAAAATTTATTTCCTCTAGTTTTGGAGGTATTTTAAACTGAATTTAAAACAAAAAATTTAAATACACAAAGTTTTTGTGTTATTTTAAACAGAGTATAAATTAAAAAAAACTTTTAAAATCACTAACTTTTTTCAGTTATTTTAAAATTTGAATCTTTTAGTGTTCCCTCCTCATCCAGCCACAGATCTCAATGCTGGCTGTTCATGTACCAGATGAAGGGCAGAATTTCAATTCCGGGATCATCCTGATTCCAAAAAGATATAATATTTCTTTGTAGAGCAAGTGTGGTTTGAGTTAGACGGGTTTCAGACACACAGACAGAATTTGCTGTTTATATATTTAGAAAAAGTAACTACCATTTTATTATACTATAAATTATTCCTTCACGATTTTGGGGCTAAGTATATAATTATGCCAGAATCTTCTTACAAGACAACTCTTACTTGCCATGAACTCTCTTTCTCTCTCTCTCTTTTTGTATAAAAGACAAGAAATTAGTGTCGTAGAGTGGTTTCACAGTGGAGGCTTGTATTTGTACTAAGTCGGTCCTAAAATAGGTTCGACGTACAAAATGTTAGGAACTTGATATAATAGGTAATGACGCAGTAATCTAGTTGTGGTGGCTGATACTTTAATATCCAACTAATGGTTGTCCAACATCGACTGACTGACCAACTCCCTGAGCGACTGCTACTACTCCTACTTATTATAGGTGGGAGAATCTATTAACAATAGAATAGGTTTGTTCCACTATAACAATTAGGCATTCAAATTTATAAATTATTCCAGTTATTTTTGTTATTATAATTCCCCTTTCATTTCCCACAAAGTATATTTTACCTATTTATTAAATTTAGTTTATGTTATATTCTGTGCTAATAGGAATATATACTTGACAAACACAGTGGATGAAATAAGTAAAGATTTATTGTAAAAAAAAAACAGTACAATAAGAATAAAGGTAACAGTTATGCACAAGGTCATCACAAGTCAATCCAGTAGTGAGTGATACTATTGGAAAGGTCAGTAGTTCTCACGTAAGTCTGAGTCGTACTCAACAGATCCCAGCTAATATATTTAGCTACCCCCCCACCACCACCACCACGAGGGTTGCATATGGCACAAGACCTGTTTAATGTGGGTTCACCAAGCCCATAAGCTTGGCCAAAAATATTCCCTTTTGAATCCGTATAAACGGGTTCAGGAGCAGTTTACCTCCCTGAACAAGACTCTGCCCTTTGGCGGAGCCTTATCCAGGTTCCTCTCCACCTGCAAGCAGAGAGTTCAACTGGTTAGCTGGAACAGATCTCAGCTAGGATCTGTAGTCCGTTGACTTACAGACACTTATATGTAGTTACTACCTATAGTGTAGTCAGTCATGGGAGTGACAGGTTATTCCATTACATCAGTTTAGTATAGCAATAGTGAAAAATTGGGGTAACACAATTGTATTACACCAGTATTCTAAGTAAAGAGGACCTGCCTCTATTGTATCTGTATTTAAAATTCTGATACCTACCTTTACAGTGTTCTATATTATAGAAATACAGATGATCTTTTATAAATTCTTTCATGTATTTTGCTTTCTACAATTGAATTATTTCAGGTTGGCTAAATGGTATACTTAATTTATTACATAACATAGATTATTCTAAAGTAACATCATTGTTTCATCCCTATCACCCTTGACTAGTCGATCTGACTTTAGGGCATCATTCAGTAAGAAATCTCCAGCATGAAACTTTGCAAACAATTTTTGATATGTCTGATCATTCACAGTTCTTCCTTCATAAACTTCACAAGTCTCTTTTGCATTTTAGTCCTATTTTATTAAAAAAAAAAAAAGCATCTACCAAAAATGCTGCTTATTTTATTTCATCATAACTAGTAGAATCAGTAAAGAAAATTAAACTAGATTTGACAAAGATTTTTTTTTTTTTTTTTTCAAAAAATACATGTTGATATGAGAGTTGTTAAAGAAAACTATCATTTGAAATCATATTTAGAATCAGAAAGAGACAGGTGAAATTATTAGGATTCATAATGAAGAAAAATTTGATATTCCTAGGACATATTGAAGGCAGAAGGGACACAGGTAAGTAGTAAGTAACCTTCCTAATGAGCTTGTGTAAATGGATAAAAAAATAACATGGAGTTTGAGGGATAGTAAAAAAACTTCCCAAGAGTCATTAAATATTGATAACAATTTCTCTTAAAGTTTCAAACAAAAAACTAATTTCTTGTAATACTGTTAGAATATTATTAATTGGAAAACATTAAGATTGTTCAAAAAAAGCTTTCTGTTTGATAATTCTGTAAATTCAGCACCAATAATACAAACTGCTAAGCTAAACCAAATAGGAAGACACAAAATGTTGCAAATGGAATGATTCACCAAATAAAATTTGCAACTGTAGAAGACAATGCATTGGGATGACAAATCTTCCCTTCTGCTAGACAATATTCAGATGATGCTTTGAGTGGGGCAACAGGCAAAGTTAGGATGTGGAGAAGATGAGTGAAAGGGTGAAAAAGAAAAAAAAAAACGTAAGGAATATGGAGAGGAGGAACAGCCGATAGGGGATGGGATGAATGGCTAGGGATGATTTTGAACTTAGTGTTTATTTGCTATCAGGGAAGAAAATAAGTGCTTTTCAACCTCCATCCCTAACACCAGCTCATCACCTGATTAATGTTAATATGAAAAGAAAGAAGGGAGAAAAAGAAAAGAGTCGAGTGAAAAAATAAACAAAGACATTAAAAAGGAAAGAAAAGAAAAAAAGAAAAAAATTTAAGATGAAAAGGAAGAAAGGATAAGAATAAAAAGGAAGAAGAAAGTATTTGCATGAAAAATTATGCAAAACAAACAGCAAAAAGACTAAAAGAAAATTGCAAAAAAGGAAAGAAAGAAAAAAGTTTGAATTAAAAGAAAGGAAGAAAAAGAAAGAAGTTGAGAAGAAAGAAGAAGATTTTTGAAAGAAAGAAAAAAAGAGGAAAATAATGGAAACATTGTTATGAATGAATCTTAAACCAAAGAATGAAAGGGAAATATGAAAGAATATTGATATTAAAGAAAGATAAACAAAAGTGAAAAAAATAAATAAAAACTTGGAAATATGTTGAGCCTGAAGAAAAGAATTCCAAATGCAACAAAAAGATGTAGAAATAAAATCAAAACAGAAAAAACAAAGTTAAATGAATAAAAAGAATTAACACAAAAATGAAGAGTAAATGGGAGAAAACTTAAATAATTGATTAATTAATTTTTTTTTTTTTTTTTTACATATTCAAAGCTTAAATGAGAAAAAAAATATTCTTAACACTTTTAAAACATAGTTACATATTTTTATTTCCACAAACAATTCTGATTTTGTTTTCTTAAATATTTTCTTGTATTACCAAATCTGTTATTTGGATTTGTTTTTATCGTCTACATTTGTTTTAGTTTTTTTCTGAACTTTTCATTAAGCCTTTCATCTGCTTTCTTTTCTAACTACAATATTCTCTCCATTGTTATATTTATTTTTTCTTTTTAAAGCATGCAATATTCCCATTCATTGGTGGAATTCTTAACAGATTTTTATTAACTCTCTTCAGAAAAAAATCACTTGCTATCAAATGGTAAATCATGTTTTTGATATACAAAATAAAAATCAAACTACCAAATGGATTAAATATTCACTTAAAGGGGATTTTTTTTTTTTTTTTTTTTTTATTTTCTTTGCAAATGTCTAAATCTAACACAAAAATATATATATGGGTTCTCTGGGTCACAAAAGAGAAGTAAACCACAGGCTAATAACTTGAATTTGGAAGAAAAACCTTTTGATAAAAAAAAAGTTATAAAATATGTTTCAATACATCAACAAATATAGCATTGAGAAAAAATAAAAAAACTTCTTCAAAGATAAACAAAGTGCAGTTACCTTATCAATGTTTCTACTATATATATATATATATATATATATATATATATATATATATATATATATATATATATTTAACTTGGCTAGATGTGAGTTTGTGACCCTGGGTTTCACGCTTTCCTGACGATTGCTAAAGTGTGAAACCCAGGGTCACAAACTCACATCTATCCAACCAAATATGTTAGCTCTATCTCTGATATTGAGCGCTTTCTAATTAGTACTGCGCATATAATATATAAATAATTATACATATATATATTTATTTATATTTATATACACTTTTCATATATATATATATATATATATATATATATATATGGGATGAATATTAAATAATTATTTTATCATTTGCAACAAGACAGAATGAATACATGTCAGCAAAACGAACAGCCCGACATGCAAATTACAAATTGGAGATACTGAAATCAAACAACTACAAATTAAATTGGTTCATAGAAATATCTTGACAGAAAGTGTGACAGTGATATCTGAAGGCACATTGGGATAGAAAAAGGTGCCTTCTTAAAGCTAAGTAAACTATTAAGAAACAGGGAAATTTTGTTAAAACCAAAGAAAAGAGTACTGAATTTTTACATTATATCAGTCCTTCTATATGGTAGTGAATATTGGACAATCTACTCACAGATGAAAAAGAGACTTGAAGCAAGAGAAATGTGGTTTCTACAGAAACATGCTGAGAATACCATTGTCTGAACATGTGAGCAATGACAATGTTTTAGAGAAAATTGAAACAAAATGGACACTTATACTTAACATCAAGAAGAGTTAGTTGAAATTTCTAGGACACATTACAAGGACAGAGGGCTTGGAAAATTTTATATTCATAGGAGCAGATTGAAGGCAAGATGGACAGAGGAAAACTGTAGTGACATCGGCAAAATGAATTTGACTGATTTTTCATAAAATCATGCAACTACTACTAAGTCAGTTGTTGCTCAGTATGGGGGTAGAACTTCCATGCAACAATATGGCATCACAATTTATCACACATTGATCCTTGTTTATGGTCATCCCAATATTTTTAAATTTGTTTAAAACAATTTGTTTTAGCTCTTCTCTACTAGTAGTGCCAATACATATATCGTCGATAGATGATCATATTCTTAACATCACCAGTTAGTACATTATCAGTGGCACTTTGAAAAATTGCACTTGCTGTTTTTATTCTAAAAGGCATATGCTTCCATTTGAGTAAGTCTGTTGGATAATCATAGTGACTTCTTTAAATTTTTAATCAGTTTATATCCAGTTATAGGCAGATTTGAGTTCAATTTTAGCAAAGTATTTAATTCAACTCATCAATAGCTGTTTCAATGTTAGGAATAGAGAATAAATCAAAGCATATTTTGTGGTTTACTGCTATTATGTAATCCCCACATATCATTAAATGCCCATCCAGAGACACCATAGATAGTTACCTACTGAGACTATTAGTGAGTTATAGAACTATTCTACATAGTGGTTGAATGCAAAGTCCCTCTGCATTTATCAAAAGACAAATTAGATCTCCTATAACAATCTTCCTATTCAATAAATGAAGAAATGTGGTACAACCCCCCCCAAAAAAAAAAAACAACAGAGAATCAAGTCCCAAAAAAGCTAACTTTATTGCACAAAAGGGACATAATATGGCTATAATAGCAACAAGTATAAAAGAATTTATTAACTCATTCTGAACAAATAAGACCTAGAATTGACAACAAAGAAGTTGAGAGGAAAGAGAAGGAGGAAGCTGAAAGGGAGGAAAGCATAAGTGCTTCTGATGGCAAAAATCAAACATACTAGTCATGAAAGTATGGAGGATAGTTCACACAAATCTGATATGGAGTTGGAAGATCAGAATGTAGATGAGTCCAGACCTAGATCCTAATAAAAAAGAACCAGGTACACACCATGAGAGAGAGAGAGGATATCTTGTACTATCGTTTGGAGAAGTCACAGATCAACAAAGGGCATAAAACCTCTTCATTTCTGGAAGAAGACATGCAGAAAGAAATTGCTGCCCTTGTGAAAAAATATTTGCAACAGCATTGAAAAGAGAAAACTAATAAAGGTGAGATTGCTGAAAACTTTTGCAAGTCCGTTTTTGTGAGCTCTCTTGAATTTTCCCATCTCATAAACCCTACTACAAAATATGCTAATAAGGTATGGAAATGACCTTGGGAGGATCAGTGTTTCATTTTTAGATAATACAAATCAAAACTTCAATTTATAAGGTAGTAGGTTTTGTTTTGTTTTTTTTAATCATTTCACCCCAAGCAATGTGATAATGTCATCAGAATGCAGGGGTTTACAGGGAGTGAAAAAAGAGAATAAGACTTTAGTGAGTAGTGAGGAAAAAGACAATCAAAGAAGAGTATTCAGGAATACAAAAGATGGTGATTGGTGTTGCATTTAAATTTTTGAAGATCATAGGTAGCAGGGAAGTAAGAAACCAGAAGGGATCTTTGCAGGGAAGAAGTGCGAGAAACAAAACTAATGGAATAAAACTGACAATGTCATTGAACTAGTTTAGCAGTAAAAACAGATGAGACCTAGTTGCCATTCTAGTAGAATGCTTAAATTCATGCAACTGAAGCACTAAGGAGGAAAGCTCATCAGAACAATTGTCATGACAGTATTTGTAGAAAAGACTGAGGGAAGCCATGTCATGTCAATAAGAAAGTAACTGAAGTTAAGATGCCAGATCAGAATCAGTTACATTACTGACACTTCTGTGAATTTTGTCAAAAAACTCAAGACATATAGAAGTATCACTTGTCCAGATGTGGTAGCAATATTCAATGCTTAGATGAATGGTAGATTTGTAAACATGCATGAAGGATTTTGACAAGAAGAATTGTCTGGCATGACACAATTATTAAATATTTAGAACAGTTTAAAATTCCCAAGGTCTTTTGCACAGTATTGAACTCTTATATAAACCCACAATTTTTATTGCAGCCAATGATGTAGACATGTTTGCCTTTTGGGTAAATGTTGTCAGAGAATGGGATTGGTCTTGTGCAAGGCTTGTTTTCATTTTAAAAAGCTTCAAATGCAAACATTGTTAAATTCTCATCAATAGAGAATCTGTGTGTTTAAGACTTAATGGCAGATTGTAGCTGAAGACAGCATTCAAACTCAATGAAAGCCATTAATAACTTGTTGCATTTAAATGCCACATTCAAATTGGGCACAGGTGAAACTATGGAAGGACTTAATATCAAGCGATGACTTCACAGATTTGAACTCTACCATGTTTTGGACAACCTTAAGACATCCTTCAATCTTTAATTCATCCAATCTAAATTCTAACATTTTACTCATGGTTCCAGGTTTTGCATTTGTAGCTAGGACCCAGCTTACAGCAGTATCATGTTGAAACACCTGTTTTCATACGATCACCAATGTTAAGCAAAATTGAGCCTGGTTAGTACCTTGATGGGTGACTGCTTGGGAATAACAGGTGCTATAAGCTTAGATGTATGGGTGGTGTAATAATTAATGGCACAGAATTGAAAATCAGAGAGACAAGTTTCAATTCCAGTCAAGTTCGTTATATTCACTTACGTAAAAATCCCCTTGGGAATGATATGAATCATCTTATGCAACCCTACCAGCTATGGGTTAATTAGTAGAACTTGTATCAATAAAACTATTTTTCTTTACTTACAAAAATCTTTATACTCTAAAAATATTTTCTGGCTTTATAGGTGTAAAAAGTTTCACCTTTCATCTGGTTCACACTCCTCCTCAGTTTTTTGAACAGGAGTAGAGGTTTATCCCTTGTTTCCTGTTTAGGCTTGGGTTTCTGGTTCCTTCTAAAGTCTTCTCATTTTCATTCTCTCCTAGTAACCATTTTATAGACTTAACTCCCTTCATGCCGTTGTGTTTCACATTGTCTGAGTTGTTGACCATGATTTGTCTTGGGATTGGTAGTGGAGTGGTTTTCCATTGTCTTCTCCACAGTGGTTTATAGAGACACCACCTCTAGTTAGCTGGCTGTTGACTCAGAGAGTTCATCTGCCCTTTGTTAGGTCTTTTTTTTTCGTCCTACTGGTTTGCTAACGAGCCACCTCACTCAAAACTTGGAGTCGGGTAGTTAGTTTAGTCACCAACAGCCTTCTTTATGGCAGTGAATGTTGGACAATTTCTCAATGATGAAGAAGACACTCGAGGCACTGGAGATGTAGTTCTACAGAAGGATGTTAAGGATATCATGGATCGAGCGTGTGAGCAATGATGAGGTTTTAGAAAGGATGCAAACAAGGAGGAGGCTTATACTTGACATCAGGAAAAGGCAGTTGAAGTTTCTGGGACACATAATGAGGAAGGAGGGCCTGAAGAATCTGATACTCATGGGTCAAATATAGGGAAAGAGTGACAAGGGAAAACAACACATGACATACCTGGCGGAATTAAGCAAGTGGATGACAGAACATGATCTTGGGGAGGTAGCAGAGGGAAGGAAATTGTTGAGAACTGCAAGGTATAGAAGGAGGTGGGGAGCCATCATCGCCTACATCCTGAAAGGACATGGTACATAAAAAGAAAGAAACCCTTCCATCTTAGCAGTATTATCATCTTGCATGGGGTGAATTGATTAAAAAAACAAAAATAAATAAATAACCTGCAAAAGGTTGACAAGCCATAAAAAGCAAATCAATCAATCAATCAATCAATCAATATAGCTAGGACCCAGAACCTCATATTCCACACCTTACTCAGTTCCTGAACAATATGCACTGTCATTAATTATTATTAAATAAAGTTACTCTTTAATAAATTATACACTATTTACATTGTTCGGACTATCATCGTCATCTTTGTTGCCATATTTATCACAATGTTTCGGCTGTTGTACGCTCTGGCCTTCTTCAGGTGGTTAGAATGTCAAACTGAACCCTTTATTTCGCTCACTGGGGTAGACTGTTCTAGTTCCACGTGCCATGTCTAATGGATGTCAGTTATCAGTTATCTCCTGTTAATTCACCTCTCCAAGTTCTCAATACCCGGTTAAGGCAGTGGAGAACTTGGAGAGGTGAATTAACAGGAGATAACTGATAACTGACATACATCAGACATGGCACATGGAACTAGAACAGTCTGCCTCAGCGAGCAAAATAAAGGATCCAGTTCAACATTCCAACCATCTGAAGAAGGCCAGAGCATACAACGTCTGAAACATTGTGATAAATATGGCAACAAGGATGAGGACAATAGTCTGAACAATGTAAATAGTGTACATAATACCTCATCTCAGAAATATAGACAGATGATAAATTATACTTGAAATAATCATTAATACTATTACTATTGTAGTCATAAAAAACACAAAATGTTCTAAATAACACATCTGGCAATAATATCTACTATGTTCTGCAATTTTTTTTAAATTTTATTTTTCTGTAATTGATATTTGTTAAGCTTTACTGAGTTGGATGTTGTCAACAGAAGCAGTCTTATCATCATCATCATCATCATTATCTATAATTCATTAATTAAGGAAATCATATTTATTATTTTCATTATCAGCAATGGAAAGATATTTAGTATTCCAAAGATTTATAAAAACTACAACTATCAACTACATTAAGAATGAAGAGGAGAAGTGAGGAGGAAGATGTGTTTGTTATTGTTGCTGTTATTATTATTATTGCTATTATTGCGATTAATATTCTTACAGTCATCATTATACCAATAATATCATTATTATTATTATTAATAACTGTTTTGGTGACTATAATTACTGTCATTCAATCTGTAAATGTCAAAACTGTGATTTAGTACTTCAGCCCAGTGATTATGTAATTCCTTGAAAACAAAAAGTAAAAACATACAAATAATTTGCTCCACTGAACTTCCAGAAGTGGGTTAAATTTCATTTCCTCTCCTTGACTGTCCTTTAAATTTGCTGAACTTCACCCTACCCCAATAATAATAATAATAATAATAATAATGCATATATCAGATTCAAGGAATAACAAACAACAGTGCATATTTCATGTCAAGATATTGATTTTAATCCTGAAAATAAAAAGCAGGTAGATGAGTATCTGATTTGTCCTATTCTTATAACATGACAAAATATAAATATGTAAATCCTTAAATTTGTGTGTTTGAGAGGAGGGGAAGGGAGTGTTGTCTTTAATACAAAATTTTTGTCCTTCTAATTTGTCATTAGAGAAACACTGACATATTCTACTCTGATGCCATCATGAAGATAAAGTCAAAATGTGTTTTGAATCCTTTTTATCCTTATAAATAAAAGTCGTGGCCAAAATTCTTTCCCATTAGCTTCTGGCTGACTTCCTTATCTTATATGCAATGTTATATACCATATCTATCTATGCTTATAAGCATGTATACATTAACATGATCTTCAAGAACAAACTGAAAAAATGAATTTATCACAACACAAAACATTTAGCTGGACAAGTATTCACATTTTGGTTTGATTGACTTATTTTATGACATGTCAACCTTTTACTGGCTATTTAATGTTAAAGTCTATCATTTTCAAAAACAATAAATGTGTAGACATAGGTCTGGTTTGAATGAGAGTCAAAAAGGTATATATAGGTTTGCTTTGCACCAGAGTCAAAAAGTAGACACAGATTTGATTTGGCATAAGAACCAAAAAGGTAGACACAGATTTGCTTAGCATGAGAGTCAAAAATTTGGCATGAGTCAAAAAGGTAGATATCTGTCTGGCAGCCATATGTTCCTTTTTTTGGTTCAGGTATCCTTCTGAACAGGCATGCTGTTGGGGTATTCTTGACCCATTGTACCCTCCAACATTCTTCAATTATTTATTGTAGTAGCTAACCTTCTGGGATTTTCAAATCAAACTGATTATTTAATCAACTGGAGTAAACAATTCTCCTCCAACTATCAGGGAGACAAATCATATGTGGAAATAGTTACTGATATGAAATTTCCTCAGGCATGGACTGCAAAATGAGGACAATGTGTGGATTGAATAAAGGTTTCACTTGGAAATTCAAAGATAACCAGCTACAACATATACTTGAAAAAGACTGGAAAATACAGTGGTCTAAATTTTACAACTATACCAACAAAGATGAGGATATTAAGTAATGACCGTGTATAATAGTGATAATTCTACATCTGAAAAATTCAGACAAAAACAGTTTAAACAACTCACTACAAAAGAACAGGTCTCTCCCTTTCTGTATTTCATTAATAAATTCTCAGTAAGTGAATATACTCTTTTCTCTTCAGGTTAGTGAGAAGATTAATTTATTTAAAGCAAGATTTCCTCATGGAATTTTTATTGATTCATTTGTTTTTATGGGTTACCAAACTTTTACAGCTTTTTTAAGGCCAGAAAATATTTTTTAGATTGTAAGAAATTTTGGAGATGATAATAATTTACAGATACAAGTTCTACTAATTATCCCATAGCTGGGGGAGAAGTGAATTCATACCATTCCCAGTTGTATTTGTGCATAAGTGAATATAACAAGCCCAACTGAAATTTGAAGTTTGAAATTTCCAATTCCAAGTTGTTATCCATTACCCCACTTAGCCACCCAAGCTTACAACACCTGGTATACCCAAGATGTCACCAATTGAGGTACTGACCAGGATCAACATTGCTTAACTGTAGTGATCATAAGAGAACTGGTGTTTCCTTGATTTACTTTTTAAAGTGGTAGAAGATAATGGATAATCTAGATTTATTTAAGAAAGGATAATTATTGATTGTATCAACTTCATACTTTTGGTTTCTCTATATAAAGTTTGAAATTTATTTTTTTTGTAAATTTAAAAGATGTGCAACTTTGATTTGTCTATCAATTTTCAGTGCTAGAATACTTCATAACCTGTATGTTTTTCCAGAAGTCAGAGGGGAATCATTTCTGATTTCTTTCTATCATTTACTACATATGATGCTTCTCTTTAAGAAAAAGCTCATAGAAAAAAAATATAATCTCATTGAGGATTCCAAATATTAGAAACCAATTTTGTAGATTACTCTTGGACCATTTTCCTTTAAAATTTGAACATCTGGAGAGCAGATCTCATGTAACAAGAGAAGTTTCACATAAGCAAGAATCACCTATTCATACATACACACATACATACAAATGTATATAAAGGGTGCGATGGATAAATTGTCGTCTAAATTACACAAGAATTAAAATTACACTGACATCTTATTTTAACAGATATATTTACCAAAATTACACAAAAACATCTTGAAATACTAAAGAGTAAACTTAGTCAATAAAATCACTGTTGGTCAGACCTCCAGACAAGTTCTGAATCTTATAGATGGTCTCCTTGTTTAAGTTGTTGAATGCTGCCATAAACCTTGCTTTCAGTTCATCTTTGGTGTTACAAGGAGTTTTGTCGGTCTCTCGCTCAACTGTGCCCCACACATAATAATCAAGGAGGTGGCAGTCTGGGAAGTTAGATGGCTAGATGTAAGGGATGATGTGGTCACAGAAATTTTCTGACAGCCATGACTGGTTTCTCCTACTTGTGTGACATAGTGCAGAGTCCTGTTGCCAGACATAGGATCTTCCAGCAACTACCCTGTTGACCCAGGGCAGCACTACCTCCTAAAAGCATTCATGTGGGCCTCCATGTTCAGTCTGAGGCCCTGTGGAAAGATGAATGGAAGCATAACACCTTTGTAATCACCATTAGACTCATCCAACTTTCCAAATCTTCTGCATTGTCCTCAGATTGACTCCAAAACACTCTGAAATGTTTTTTTTTATTAGAGCTTCCGACATGAATGCTTTGCAGTACAGCATGTCATTTACAAATTTCTGGCAGAGTGAATTGTGTAATGGTGCTCTTTTTCTCACAGAAGGTGCCCAACTGCCCTACTATACTGTGCAGTCGACAAAATCAAAAACAAACAACATGCATGTGCAAAATTAAAAATATAAAATGGCAACCGTTCACCCATCACACCCTATACATGTGTGTGTTTCCATTTCTTTTGATAAATTATTCAAAAATTGATGCAGCATACTATGTCTTCTAATAAGTAAATAATTTAAAAAATTATACAAAAACGAATAGCTGTACCAAATAATAGAAACCACATCACTTGATGACTTTCAACAGTAGCAACAACCAAAATGGATTGCACATGTAACTCAAAGAGAAAAAAAATGACATAATCAAAATGTTGACATTATACACTACTAAAAACAAAAGGCAAAGACAGAAACCCCTTCAATACTTGAAAGAGCAATAACAGTAACTGTACTTGAGAACAGATGTTCCTAAAAAAAATAAAATTAGGAAAGAAATATATTAGGAGCAAAAAAGACTTACAAGATTTTTAACATGCTTTGGTGCATGTTTTCTCTTGATCCCTCTCCCTCGGTGAAATAAACTAACAATTAAATAATCTCCTTGTGATTCCATGACTATAGAATTCCTGTGTAAATATTTGAGCTTAACAACTTACAGAAAATATTGTAATAACAATCAGAAGTATGAATGCAAGTCATTATTTAAAGAAGTAAGAGTATACAAAAAGATTCAAAATTGACAGGTTTTTTCATTTCATTGAAGCAGACAATGAGTATATTATTGCTTCCTCTATTTGCTCTTTCTTTCTTATTATGTATCTATTCATGCTTTCTTTTTCTCACTAAAACCAAATAGCATCTCTGATATATCTTTCTCTTCCATCTTTCCTGGCAATCAAAATGGTCTCTTATTTATCTGAGGTTATGGCAAGATGTAACATATGTGCTAACTTATTAACTAACAGAGGGACAGAGTTATAATAAAAAAGAAAGTTTTGTTAACTCATCAATCTTGTACAAATCTGTTACTTATGATTACATGAGAATTGAAACCTGAAAATATCTGTTTTCATTTTTGAGGGTTTTTTGAACTATCTGAATTGGATTTTCTTTTTTATATTAGATTTTTACCTTAATATTAGAATGAGTATTCTCTTAAACAGAATTTTTTAAAAATTCATTTTATTTTGTCCAATCATGAATCTTACAAACTCTATTGGTTATAAAAGGTTAATGATCAATCAGCTTCTGGTAAAATCAGTATGAAACATTAAATCGTTAAAAATGTTTTTTTTCTTTTTACAATAAATATAAGTAGTAGTTAAAAAATATTTTCTTTTATTTTTTATTCATTATTTACATTATTCACACTATTGTCCTCATCTTTGTCGCCATATTTATTATGTTTTGGCTGTTGTATGTTCCAGCCTTCTTCAGGTGGTTGGAATGTCAAACTTATTCTAACCACCAGAGCATACAATGGCTGAAACATTGTAATAAATATGGTGACAAAGATGAGGACAATAGTCCGAATAATGTAAATAATGCCTCTTCTCAGAAATATAAATAGATATTTTTTATTCGTAGTAAAATATAGAAAGTTATGAAAAATCATTTTTCTTTTCATTGACATTTTTATATGCAAAAATAAATTGATTTATTTGAATTTTTTACTTCATCCTTTCCTCTCAACTATTTGTTGTGATTAGAATGTCAGATATCCAAGAAAGTTTAGAAGCAGTCATGATTCTAAGAACTAGTTTTCTCCCACAAGAATTACCTGGTAATTCAGTACAATTACCCAGTTGAAGAAGCACCCCTGTTCAGGGAAAAAATGGAAAAAATTTGAATTTTCTACCAATCAACGAATTGGTTTTGTGAACTTTTGTAATTTTATTAACAGGTTAATCCCACCACTGGTTAGAGAGTATAACAGCTTGGCTTTAGGGATATTGAACGTTACAAGCCAGTTTTTTTTAACAGCAGAATGGGGAAAAACTGGCTAGTAACTTTTAATACCTTATAAACCAAACTAGTAACATTTCATCATTATTGATCAAAACTTTATCTTTCTACTGTCACAATAAACGTTTGCACTTTCAATGAGGCTGTATGCTTTGAACATCTGTTGGGACTTGACTTCAATACAGACCTCAATATGATGCACAACTAAAAATGCTGGGAAAAGTTTAGATTCTTGTATCATTACAGAAAGTGCATGACTATATCAGTCAAACTTTGTCTTTACAAAAGTCAGATTAGACTGAAAATGGACTATTGCTGCCATGTCTGTGTTAGAACTGCCTAATCCTCATTTTCTATCCTTGATAGAGTTCAAAATCATTTATGCAGTCTTGTTAGGGATGATTCCTTTTCCATAGTACAGACTCTATCTCAGCAATGCAATATTGCCAGCCTAATATTACTCTATTGCTAATTCCATGGCAAATGTTCAGCTGAATTCTACCAATTTGAAACTTACAGATAGGGATTGCTATGCTATGCCCATGGAGCTGAGTCCCCAACATTTCCTCCATATCCCGTTCACAAGGAGAAAGTTCCACTCAGAAATTTTTTCCAAGAACTGCTACTTTGTGGCACAAACTCCCGTGTGAATGCTTTCCTGAACATGACAATCTTACCCGATTCATCAAAGGTCAGTTGCTATCTATCCTCATAATTTTAATTTCCTGCTACCACTTTTTATGTTCAACACACTTCATTCAATATTTATCTACCATGCATGTCTCTTGAGCCTTGTATTGGGTGAATTTCAGTTTAAAAAAACAGCTACAATATCAAGATAAATATACAACAAAGATTCAGTCAGTCAGTTATGTGACATGCATGATACACGGATAAGTGATCATGTATCTTTGGATATATGACTGACAAGGCATATTTTTTCCCACAGTAGGTTGCCATTTCTTTCTGCAGTAGACCTGTTGCTATCCAAGGCTATAGAACCCGTTCTGTCCTGCTATTTACCCATAGCTGGGGGGAGAAGAAGAGGATTCATATCTTTGCCAAGGGTATTAGCATGTAAGTGAATGTAATGGATTTGAGTTGAATTTGAACTTGGCTCTCCAAATCCTCAATCTGAGCCACTATCCATTACTCCACTGTGCCTCCTCTACAACAATGAGTAGGAAATTAATACAAATGAACAGATATTCATTTTGTTTTAACTTTTGAGATGTGTAATTATCATTATCTGACACTGGCTTATTTGTACTCATGTCTTCATTTCGGTCATTGTCCCATTTCAGATGCTATATCCACCAGCCTTCTTCAGGTATCAATTGTAATTCAAAGCCTTTCAGAATTATCCAACTAAACTCACTATTCAGTCCATAAAGATAGATTAACTAATATAAGATTTGCTCTAACAGAATGAGAAAGATCTAGCCCCATGGATTGAACAAAGAGTTCCATTTAAAATTCCCAGAAAAACGTTTGAATAAGACCTGAGAGTATAATGGGTAAAACAATGTAATGTTAACAATCAAGATGAGGATACCATTTCAAACAAATCAGTGTATAATAAGAAACAGTATTCAATGATTATAAAACTATCTGAAAAAATTCAGACAAAAAAAAATCAGTCAAGTGTAAGAAAATAGATTTTTTTTTAAATTTGAGTCTTTGTTTTTGAGATTCTCAAATTGCTGGGTTACAGTTTGCTATTCAAATTTCCTTTTTAAATTTAATTTGTTCTGATGAACTTTCCTCTGTGGTACCTAGACTTTATAAAACTCTACTAGATTGGCAACAAGGTCTCATTATTTTACAGTTGACTTGGCTAGATGTAACTGTAAGTTCTTTACTAACAATTTCTTTTTTTGCACTTCTCACCTGT